CTTTGAGCAACCTGGTCTAGTGGAAGGTGTCCCTGCTGATGGCAGGGGGGTTGGAAATGGATGATCTCTAAGGTCCCTTCCAACCCAAACCATTCCATGATTTTGTGATAGACAACATCCATTGGTCTTCCCTCATCTACTCAACCAGTCATGCCATGGCAGAAGGCTCTCTGGTTGGTCAAGCGCTGTCACAAGTCTGATGTGCATTAAGTCTCTCAGCAAAAATCAGCATTACCCCGCGGGTCCAGGTGTACCCAGCCCCTACACAAGAGGGCGCTGTTCAGGTTTACCTCCCCCTGCTGGCTGATGATGGGCACTGCATACTGCAGCTTCACCTCGTAGAAAAGGCACTCCAGAAACACGTTGGCCACGCCAATCAGGTTGTGATTCTCTTGAGCTTCGTAAAAAGGATCACCTCTTTTGCCAATCAGCTTCCTTATCTGTTTTAAAGAGCGTTAAAGTGACGTTAAAAACTGTGAGCACGGGAACACAACATCAGATAAGCACATAATGTAAGATCATGGCACAAAATTATGTCACTACCCATTTCTTCTGTTCCTTCCTGTCACACAAGTAGAAAGAGAATAGGAGCATATCACAAATCCAAGATGAAATCTTTGAGGTGAGACACGACGCAATCCTTTCGTTACTACGGGAAACAGTAAAATAACGACCTGCATTTTTTAGTGATGTCAAGACACACCAGATTTTACCATGAGCAAGCACAACAGCCACTGATTTCAAAAAGTTTCGCCTTACTTTTTCTGCTCTGTTTACTCTTTTTAGAGAAGAGGACCGATCATCCCCAGATTGAATAGTGGTCTGTCTGCTGGGTACCACTCCAGGGACAAAGGGGAGGTGCAGGATGGCTCCCACTTAGGCCTACAAGTGTTCCTATGATTCCCACAGGGCTGAGATCACACTTGCAGCATTTTCTATGGAAGTACCCCACACAGAGCCATGAAGAACACATGCAGATTTGTGGCCCTCCTCAGTGGACATGTTAGCTCCTTCTCTTTTCCTCCTTCTTCATCTTCAACATATGCATTTAGCCTGCTTGCTTCTACGGAGCATATAGAACACATGCATGATGGATGACATAGGTCACAGCAAGGATGATCCTGACTCAGGCAGACATAATATATTCAAAGGATGTGCTGTCACTAAAGTTGGCAGCCACGTGTTTGACCTCCCCCTGTGCTATGTCCCATTTGGGTCACGACAACCCCATGTAAAACTACAGGCTTGGGGAGGAGCGGCTGGAGAGCTGCCTGGTGGAAAGGACCTGGGGGTGTTGGTTGACAGCCGGCTGAACATGAGCCAGCAGAGCGCTCAGGTGGCCAAGAAGGCCAACAGCATCCTGGCCTGGATCAGAAACAGGGTGGCCAGTAGGACCAGGGAAGTGATTGTGCCCCTGTGCTGGGCACTGGTGAGGCTGCAGCTCGAGTGCTGGGTTCAGTTTTGGGTCCCTCAATACAAGAGGGACATTGAGGCTCTGAAGCATGTCCAGAGAAGGGCAGCAAAGCTGGTGAAGGGGCTGGAGAACAAGTCTTATGAGGAGTGGCTGGGAACTGGGGTTGTTTAATCTGGAGAAGAGGAGGCTGAGGGGAGACCTTCTCGGTCTCTACAAATTACCTGAAAGGACGGCGTAGCAAGATGGGAGTT